GACATTCCATTACATGAGGTTTTTATTTCATTTTTTAAAGTGTCACATTGTTCAGCCAGCTCAGTGCTTTGTAATGGATAGTTTAGATAGCCCATGCTAATAGTCTGACATTTATATTTTGACATGCATGTTTTACGTTTGATTTTTCTTTTCCATGGCAACTGTGCTAAGAAAAATACATAATGTATATCATCTAAAATCAAGAGTTGCCCTTTGTAATCCTACCAAGAGTAAATATTGTTTTAAATTCTTTCCAGATGTTGGTTTGCAATAAAATCAGTTACATTTAAGATGTGTCAGTCACCAATGTTGTTGCAGTGTAACAAAACATAAGGGGGTGGCCAAGTTTTGACTAGTGTTTTGCGGGGTTGCCTACATTTAACTATCTCAGCTTCACCTTCTCTTATGACCGTATCATCCATCTTTATTGCTATGTTATATATGCTATTTGAAGTATTTCTGTTTAGTATTCTTTGTGTAGTTAGGTTAGAAAAACTAAAATTTTGGCAAATACCCACACACAGAACTTTCTAGTTTATTGTGGCAAAATTCCATTTTGCTTTGGGTCCCAGAAGGCCAAAATCCCACACAACACTAACAAGTCCACTTCCAAGCATATTATTTTAGTAACTGTGATTTTAGGTTGATATATATTCACTAATCATCTTAGCTTGAAGTTATTCCTTGAACATGTTGGACCTAATCCACCACTGTGCTACTCCAATTTTACACCAACATGATATGATGAAACAAGCTCAATTTACTTCTACATAGTAGCATCAGGATTTTCACAACTAATCAGGTCATCATCAAATAAAAGAAAAAAAAACAGATGACAATGAATGCTCTCAGATGATAGGCTTAAGAAAAGGAATGATCATTGCTTCATTTAAAAAAGTTATAAAAAGGAGGATTTAAGATACCAGTTCAAAATGGGACCGTCCAAGCAGTGGTAAGTTTTTCCATTGACCTGCCTGGAATTGTGCGTAATCTCAGACCACTTTCTACTAGACAAATATCCACAACACAATTGGCATCATTATTGGCAATGTCCGTAGAGAGGCCCTAGAGAGGGAATGGTTCATCCCTACAGAGCTCCACCAGAACACTGGCGGGGGAGGGGGAAAGGGAGTTAGTGTTGCCAGAAGCAAGAGGACATCATCAGTTTCTATTTTAAATAGAAAAACGTAATGGTGCCACTTTAAGAAAGGTTGTGTGGACAGCATGTTTAAATGAACTGTTTTGTGTAAGACAAATAGCTGCATTTACTACAGCATTTGGTTCACATATTGAAATATTCTGTGCCCTGACCCAAACTTCATGCTATACTAAACAAGAGAATTATTTCAAACACCACACTGGGTCATCTCAGCCCTTGATTGCAATGAAGTTACATATAGGATTAATTTGGGGTTAGAATTTTTACATATAATAAAAGCCACCGAAGAAAAATATTTCAAAACTGCATCCTGAATAATTGTGGCTCTGCAATTGTGGCCTAGAAGCCATTAAGGCATACCTTCAGATGCTACAGTAACTAGTACTGTAGAAAACCTTAACACAGGGGTCGGCAACGTTCAGCACCCTGGCGGGCTGGGCCAGTTTATTTACCTGCTGATGCGGCAGGTTCGGCCGATCGCAGCCCCCACTCGCTGCGATTCGCCGTCCCGGGCCAATGGGGGTGGTGGGAAGCCGCGGCCAGCACATCCCTCGGCCCGCGCCGCTTCCCACTGCCCCCATTGGCCAGGGACGGCGAACCGTGGCGAGTGGGGGCCGTGATCGGCCGAACCTGCTGCGTCAGCAGGTTAATAAACTGGCCCGGCCCACCAGGTGCTTACCCTGGAGAGCCGCGTGCCGAACGTTGCCAACCCCTGCCTTAACACCTCCACCAGTAGGAACAGCAGCAGGAGAAAGGGCATTTAAAATCCACAGGGCCCTTCCTTCTCTTCTATTGCCCAGCCCCAAAGTCTTTCCTCCTCTGTCCCCCATAAGACTACTGCCCTACCTACAAGCTGTGACACTCACAGATCAGTAACATGTTGACTGCTACTTGATGCAACCTTTCTTCCTTATGAATTATTATTTGTATTACTGCGGCAGCTAGAGGCCCCAGCCATGGCTTTGTGGCTCAGGTGACCGAAGGAGGACACCAACCACTACGTCAAGCTCGATCTTCCTCCTTTGGGTATAGTTGGCCAGCAGAAGTTAGAATGCTCTACTGAGCTGGGCACGGAGGAAGAAGGAACAGTGCAGCCCCCTGCACCTCTGTGGGCTGGCATTCTGGAAAGCTGCTGCTGCTGTCTGGCTGAGAGCAAGTGAAGCCAGAATTACCAGGGTGGATGCAGAATGAGGTAGCGATTCTGTGGTGGAGCTTGGCCCCTAGCCTGACACTGCTTTCTCTTTGTCCCCAGTTCCCAAAGAGGCCTCTAGGATGCTCTGCACACCATTTCCAGGGATCCTTTGCTCCAATCTGAGACAGTCCTTGCCAAGTCCAGTGCCTGGATGCACAGATCCTACCTTAATTCCTCCTCCCCCCACCCCCCCTCTATCTGTGCAGTTCTTTTAAATACAGAAGTGGAAATTTAGAGGAATCAAGTGTTTCAGTGTTCTCAGGTTGCAATTCTTCCCTCAGTATGCATAACTTATACACATCAAGATCGCCCGGCTGGTTACATTCATGCCTATTCATTAGGGTGGCATTGTGCCCATACACATGGTGGGAAGTTATTTTCTCTAAGTTACAGCTGCCAACAAAAATGGATTTAGATGAATAAACTGCCCAGTGTTGCAAGGCCTAGCTTCTGCAGGAAGCCCCTGTTCTGTGCCTTAGGGGCACATACCTCTTTAGTCCTGCTAACAGCTTTTGACAAGTCACAATTCTCAACACTGTTGGAAGCATCAGACCAACCTAAATGGCAGATAAATGACAAAACCTCAGCTACATTTATCTTACGCTGTAAGTAGTAACAGAGATATTTAAATGGACAATGGCAGCATGTCATATTTGTCAGATGTCCCCTTATCATTCATCTTACAAAACAAGAGCAGCATTATAGCTCCATCCACCAGGAAGCAACAGGCTTGTGTCTCAGGAATGGAATCCACTTGACAGATGCTATTTCTATTCATATCGTCACACAATACATCTCAACTAGTGGAGGGTTCTTGAAGTGCTCCCAACTGATCCCATATTTATGACAATATTACCAGGGCCTTCCTCTCCAATCCCATAGCTGTAGAATAAAAACCTCACCCTGCTTTATCAAGTACTGTACAACTGGCTGCTGTCAGCAGTGATGCAGTTTGGTGCAATAGCAACAGCTGTGGAGATAGGGCTCCTTCTATAATAAAACTATGCAAGTTAGCAGGTCTTTTTCTTCAAGCTACAGCATGAATCTAAACTAAAAAAAAAAACAACTGGCATCAACTTTGCCTGTAGTTTTTGCATTCCTGTAGGTGTCTGTGATGTGATGTCCTGCTCTGTGATGTGCCCACAAGGGGAAGTTGGGTGGATACTCTGTGTCTGCTCCCAGGCTGTTACTCATAGGACTGAGTTATAGAAGCATTAAGAGGAAGATCTTTCAGAACAAGGGCAGTAACCATGCCAAGAGCAATCAGCTCACTTGGACCTTTTCAGAGGTGATGGTGTCTTTACTGAGCTTTTACTGTCTGAGCTGGGATTAAGGAAGATGCATTTAGTAGTCCCTGCATGCCTCCTCTGAACCCAGCCCAGAGATCCAAGTGAGCGAATATTGAAATACTTCACTGTAAAAGACTGCTCAAGGTTAAGTTCTAAGCCTTATTTTGTGAGAGAGCATATTTTTAAATGAAGACAGCCAGAGATGTTTATTTGACTCTGCTCAAGCATCAGAATATCTGCATGAGTTTCTCCAGCCGTTATTTCTGCCTCGTTTACTGAGTGTTGGTGTAGGACACAGTGCTCCTCTTGAAGTACCCAGAAATCACGAGGCCCCAGTCCACAAGTATTTTATACATTGATTATGAGACCACTGGTTCCTCAACATGTAAAAGGAATTGCTGATTATAGCCAGCTGAGCACTCCCTTCTCTCTCCCTCCACACCCCACATAACTGAACTAACCTCCACCCTGACTTTCTAGGGAACCTGAACTGTACAGGTTTGACAGACAGCACTTGTGAACGTTCAATACTCAGGTCTAATACAGCTCTCAGCTGAGCTGGAGCACAGCTGGAAGCCCCAGATTTCACATCCATTTTAGGTTCTTACAAATCCCATTTCTTGGGCTCGTGTTGATTCAATCTGTCTGCAAATAATTCCAAATCAGGGAAATTAAAACAAACAGAAAAAATCTACAGGTGCCACTTTAGCTTGTACCCTACTCAAACTAAAAATTAATGAATGTAAGCAAAATACATACCCACACAGCCCAGAAAAGCCATCCAGGGCATTCTCCCTCCTTTCCCTTCTTTTCTCTGCTGAGGAGAACCACAGGAACACACCTGCTGTCCCTGACTGGGTCCTGCTAAGAGCACAGCTGCTTCTCATCACCCCATAATTAGAGGAAAGGGAGGTAGCTAGTCAAGTTAACCCTGGCTGGTTACTTGCCTTTTACTATAGCTGTGCGAGTCCCACAGATCAACAGTCTTCACTACTCTAGAGAATAACCCATTTGGGTTGGAACATTCTTTTCAATAGCACCCTGAAGAAGACACCAGCATCTAAAACAGAATTTAAATTGCCAATGCTCTAAGTCTTATTCAGGAATATTTATTTTCTGAAATAGTTCTTTGAAAGTAAACTACCCCCGGAAACAAAATGATTGTTCTAAATAACACAAACTTGGGCGTGTGTGTGTGTATATATATATATATATAACTATTTTTAATTCGACCCCTTATTGTTGTACAGATGAGACCCACAGCTGCATCAAGCAGACTATACTGCATGTGGATTAGTAGAAATGGGATCTATTAAAACAACATCCATGGGCTATGAAATAAGTATTCATCCACAAACAATGAGCACTACTGTTTTTATTAAAGTCTTCTCAAAGTGTCTTCAGGTACAGTATCCATATCTGTACTTCTCCCTACTTTCAGAGGAGTTTGGTTGACTTGTTGACTGTTTATTCATAGTTAGTGCTATAGGCTTTTTCTTGGATGCGTAAAACCATTCTCCGGGCATAAAAATCCCTATATTCCTCAGGCAGTTCCTCCAGTGTTTTCAAAGCCCTGTCCAAAATCTGCACAGCTCTGGAAGCAGCTGTAGGATCTTTATTTCCGTAAGTGTCTGTTTTATCATAGCACTCAGAAGGAAGATGCTTCCAAAAGACATTCACTCCCACTCCAAATTCTTCAGAAATTACATTATGGAACCATAAAGCTGTAGGAAGAAAAAAGTCTAAAAAGATAAACTGCCATTTAAAACTTGATTTCGTTTACAACAAAGATGTTTGAACCATCTCAAACTGAATGTAACTGACATAAGAAATAATCACTGACATTCACTTATGTTTAGGTACTTCTGACTCACTACATCACATGCTACAGCATATCAAACAGTGAGTTCCTGATCCTGAAGATATTTATAAGCATGCTTAACTTTATGCATGAGTATTCCCACTGAAGTCAATGTAAAGGTAAGTGGGTAAGTGTTTGCTGGATCAGGGTCAACAGACTTAATTCTTTGTCCCTTATTCATGTCATTTATCCCATTCCCTTGAATTGGAATACTTGCATAAGTAAAGAGTGCAGGATTAAGCCCTAAATCTTTAAGGGCCCCACTCCTGCAAACACTTACGTACATGAGTAACTTCACTCATTGCATACACATTTGCAAAATTAGAACCTTAACTTGCATGGATTCTCAACATGCCAGTTTAGATTACCAATATCAGTGAGTATCAGCCTTGCAAATTTCTTCTCATCTACACCAACTTTTTTGGATCCAGCAAATAGTAAGATTTTTCATTTGAATCATCATGGCAAAGGGCAAGTAAGCAAGGAGACACTTTTGCCTGGACTGCTATGTATTTGTAATTTTATGTATCATGTGCCCGTTTTAACTTGAAAGCTACAGCATTGCATTAGTTCTCCCACTTCAATTTTGGAATATTGTTTTTGTTACTTGTTTTATATTTAGTGAATTGAACATATCAGTTTTTTTGGTCTGCATCATTCACCTCCTTGACTCAATCTTCCGCTTTTGTTCTCGAAGCATGCCTGTTTCTGCTACAGTTTTTCTGGGACACGGTTATATTTGAAATCTACCATTTTAAAACAAAGTTTGATTTTAAGCTATTTATAACAATGTAAATCAGTAATTCCATTTAAGACAGTGCAGTAACACTGATGTGAGATCATAATCAGACCAAACAATCCTATTTTCTGAAATTCAGGACTGTAGTGAGAGGGTGTGGCCTCCCTCCGAGACTGACAGGGAGGGACTAGACTACTACCCCTGGTGGGTGGAGCCGAACCAGCCACACCATGCCATGCCACACCCTCGTCTCCCACCCCACTGGATGCAGGGGTCAGAATAGGAAGTTTAAAAGGCAGGACCTACAGTTCACTTGTGCAAGAGCTGGGGAAGGGAGCAGATGTTTCTTGCCCGCTGCCAAGGACAGCTGACTGACCAGTACCTGGAGGAGTAACAGGACTGCCACTAGCCCTGTACCTTTGGGAAATGGAGAAACCCCAGGAGACAGAGGTATACTCAGAAGGGGTAATAGGAAGTAGCCCCGGGACACCAGACATTAGTCCAGTGGTGTTGCCAGAGTCTAGGTCAGTGTTTCGGTGGGATCCCTGCTCACCCAGTGGTGGAACTCTCCAGTTCCTACTCACAGAGCCCTTAGCCTGCTTGGTACTCTGCCCTGCCCAGAGCCCTTTGACTGCTATGTTCCCCTGCTGAGCATTGCACTTATAGGCACAACATAGTGAGCTCTCCCTGAGACTGATGGGGAGGAACAGCTATGGACCACTACACAGACCCTTTTCAGTCACACAAAATGGTGCCATTTAAAGTCTTCTTTTTTCTGTGACATTTATCTTTGGTGTTTTTAATTATCAGTCTCATTTTACAGTATCTGCCAAACTAATGCAGAGGCAAATATTTTTTTAAATGCTGCATAATACATTGATATAGACAAAGATCCAATAACATAAAATAAGTATCAGTTTTCAAGATCAATAATGCTTTAGCATATCTGATTCAAAATTGAAAACACTTGCTGACAAAAGTTAGCTAGGAAGATCTACAGTACCTAGATCCAAGAGAAAACGTGTGCAAACGTCTGTAGAATCTGGAACATTACAGCTAACTGTACAAAGTCAGTTCTCTCTGCAAAGTAATCTGCTATCTTCCTTTAGTTCTGTTCAAAATTTGGATATATTTTCTCAAAGTAATTCCTACATCACTGAGTGATGCTGCATAGTAAGAACCAAAGTGATGAATACTAAACTAAACCAGCAGATTTTGCATAAAATCTACATCACAATCCACACAAATATTAAAAGAAAGGAGGAATAGGAAACACCTTCCAATAAGTGAAATATCTTCCACTAATCTATGGAATATAAAGTCTGGGTTTGTTTTTAAAAAAAACTGCATAGCAATGAACACACCAGTGGCCAGCTGAAAGCTGAATGACAAGTTTGTTCCTGGTGTATATACATTGTCTTCTTATATAACTATCCCCATTTTCCTTAATAAGAACAGCTGTACTGGGTCAGATCAATGGCCCTTCTGTCTTCTGACACCAGCCAATGCTCAGTGCTTCAGAGGGAATGAACAGAACAGGGCAATTATCAAGTGATCCATCATCCACTCCCAGTTTCTGGCAGTCAGAAGTTTAGGGATATCCACAGCATGGGATTGTGTCCCTGGCCATCTTGGCTAATAGCCACTGATGGACTTACCTATATGAATTTATCTAATACTTTTGTGAACCCAGTTATACTTTTGGCCTTTGCAACATCCCCTTGCAACAACTTCCACAGGTTGACTGTGTTGTGGGAAAAAGTACTTCCTTTTTTGTTTTAAACCTGTTGCCTATTACTTTCATTGAGAAACCTCTGGTTCTTGTGTTATGTGACATGGTAAATAACACTTTGCTGTTCACCTTCACACCACTCATGATTTTATAGACCGCTATCATACCCCCCCACTAGTCCCCTAACCACAATTATATTGTGATACTCAGTTTTCCCACCAAGGATGTGAACCAGTGAAAAGGATCTAGATATTTACATGTTCTCAGGTTCATAGCTGAGAATAATAAATTAATACCAAGTTAATAGGTTGTTTTTGTCTTCATTATGATGTTATCCTGTCTCCATTTTAATATTCCAGGATTAGTCACAAACACTGTTAATATTAGCCTGCTTATTCTGAATAGGAAGATGTTTTACAGCAAATGTTATCAATGTTTGATAATCACCCTGAAGAGTCTGCTAGAACACAAAGGTTCCTACAGTGTTTACAAGATCATGAAAGATAGCTAACAAAAGTTCACAGTGTAAGAGGACCTATTTCAAGGTTGCTTTAAGTAATATTTGATACCAGAAGTATGACTTAATATCTGTAGATTAGAATTGAGAAAGCTGACTTGAAAACTCAAAATAAACTCTTAAACCCTACCCCACAAAATTATATGGATAAGATCACTTTAAATTCTATTCATGTAGAATTCTTCTCCTACCCTCCACTTGAAGGTTATTAAGAGTCAAAACTTTTGTTCAGATAAGACTTTGCAACTGTATCCATGATGTCTTTCTAGAAACAGTACTGGAATGCTATACTCTACTTAACACCGCTGAAAGCCAGGGAATTATATTAAAAGGTCCGATTTTTTTTTTTTCATAAAGTAGTTGAAATTCATGGTTCCACAAATAATATTAATTCTTCCCTGTCCCCATATCCATGACCTAGGTACTGCTTAGAACTGCACAACAATTACAATTAAAACACACACACACATTGTAGGCCCAAGGCCCACTCCTGTAGACACTTACACATATGCTTAACTTTAAGCAGGTGAAGAATTCCAGTAACTTCAATGGGACTACTTAGGTGAGCAAAGGTAAGCATGTGCATCAGTGTTTCCAGGATTAGGGTTTAAAATGATCACTTGTAATTAATGGATTACTCTTTGTTCATTGTCTAGAGACTTGAATTGCCCTTTACATTGCTTCCCTCTTAAATACTTCAGTAAGGCTCAGGTTCTGATCCTGCAAATTGCTGATGAGGTTAGGCCAGCAGGAATAATTCAGCCTGCTTCTGATCCCCGGTGCTGTCTCACCTTGCACAGCAAGCAGCTTTGTATTTGCTACTGTTGCAGAAAGTTAGAAGCAGCTTAGAACAGAAAATATTCTGACTTTATTTTCAAAACTGACAATTTGTAATTAAAAAATGTGAGGACTTAACTGTTCCATCCCTAATGGACATTGTCATTTGCCTCTTACTTCTGCAGTGAGAAAACAGTAGAGCTACAGAAGAATGAAGTGCCCATTCCCTGAATCTAAAGAAGCCAGGTCAGGGAAGGGACAAATTGATTTTAATAGAGTAAGGCTATTAAAATATATGCACATTGAGTCAAATAAGAGTATAATTTTGGTCAGATGCAAAGTGTCACATATCTAGAATTGCATGGAGAGTTACAAATATGTAATTCACATGTGGAAATGAGGATTCACAAAATAAAATTATTAAAAATACTGTGGGCCGGAGCGATTTGTCACTTACCTGGAATGAACAACACATCGCCTGCTTCAAGAGAACATTCATAGCGCCTGGCTTTCATAAAAAGGGGATATTTCTCCAGGTCTGGGTTATCCACATTTAGGACCTCTGATTTAGTGCCTAAAGAAGTATCAACAAAATAATAAACATTCATGAATTCTTTTAACACTGGCCAATGTAAGTTAACACAACACTCTAAGATATAATTATTGGGCCAAATTCAACCCTGGTGGAACTTCGACTTGAACTGAGTTCCACCTGGGTTGAATGTGGCACTCTGTGTCCACATTTCAAGTACAACTGCAATCCTACTGATACCAGAGAGTTTTCACTGACCACAATAGCCATCAAAGCCAAGTTTCACTGAGACAGTAGAAGAACTCTGTTAGAACCTAGTTACAGTCCTCTATTCCTATGCAGTTAAGAACCAGAATGCTTTATTAACCCACAGAACAATTTGAGCACAGGCAGTAGGAGTGCAAGTTCCCCTACATTACCCCACCAATGTTCCTCAACACTAACTTGGAGTGATTACTGTTAGAAATGAGAGACTAGATTAGTCAATGTCGCCTCTCTGCTGAGATTTCTAACAGAGTTGCCAATTACGGCAAAGGTTTTTATATATAATGGGATACTTGCCTACTGGAAACTGAACTGAGAACACCAAACTCAATTAAATGTGTATGACAAGAACATACCTGCTAAATACAAATATGGTGCATCTCGAGGATTGTACAGTATAACTCTTTTTTTCCCTGTTATCTGGATTAAGAAGTTATCCATTATCTGAAAATATAACAGTATACTATAAGCATAAATAGCAGATAGATGCTATACAAGAGAAGAATGGGCAAATATATATTCCATATAATCATTCTGTTATATAAAATATCCCCTGAAAACAGACAATATTAAAAGCTTTGAGTGTGTGTTTAAAAAAAAAATTGCTACTCCATATCAAATTACCCTGAAAATCTGAATAATGACATATTTTCACTCTTCATCTTACATTTTTGGCACATGTTAATTATAAATGGAAAAAATGCCTCTCCATATTTCTTTTTAATAACTCTTTTACTTGTCTTTTTTCCTCTTTCTTTCTTTCTTTCAACTATAACTTACAAGATTTGTTAAAAATTCAAAGCAATTATAATTATCTGCCTTGACTATCTAGTAAAGCAAAACATAAGGCAGAATATATTTAGAAGTGCTTTTACCATCTTTCAAACAGCCTTCTTACCTCATTTTGCTGACCGGCCACTAAAACAGCAATGGGTTTTGCACTAGCTCAACTACACAACATAATATTCCTGTATCTAACCCTGTCTGGTATCACATTATAGGCTCTTACTAGACAAATATATGTGGTATCAACTACAGCAAAAGAGCATGAAAACCCACCATATAGATTAGCCAGGAAAGGGTCTCGCAGAGTAGCAAAATAAGCTAATTCTGCAAGGCGCTGTGTAGCTTCACCTCCACTGAAGCCAGCAATGCTGAGAGGTTGTTTTTTGATTCTTGGCTGCTATTTAAAACAATGAGTAAAACCCAAAAACCCAGTCTTGCAATTTTTACTCATATGAGGCAAAGGTTTCAGGACTGGGAAATAAACTGAGAACCAAAATGTGCTTAGAATAGCAGCTATCCTTAAAATATACAATACCTAAAGTCAGTTATTATTTACCTAGTACCCAAAAGTATGCAAGCACCTCTCTAACTGCCAGCAGGCTCCTGCCCCCTGTAGGGCTTGTATCCTAGTGCCCCAATCCTGTAATGAGATCCACACCACATTTCGCCAACAAAGGCACAAAGATTATTTGCCTACATCATAGTGTGTCCAGAGTTGCAGTCCTGCTGAGCTGATGCGGAAGACACTGGAGAAGAACTGTTCCTTTTCAAAATATTCTGGGATCTGAATATCTTCTGCTAATGAAGGAAACTGCTTTCTGATATCTGCAATATCCTGAATCAAAAGGGATATAGTTCAATGTTCCAGATAAAATCATATATTTGAAGTGAAAACAGGGGATTAGCTCATGACTGTGTTAAATCATACAGGCTAGGTCCTCAGCTGTGGCCAAGGAGCACTTGGCATTGCTGGGGGTTTGGACACAACGGGGCCTTTTGCACACAATCTTCAGTCATCTGGGTGCCGGTCCTGTCTCCAGTAGAAGTTAGGACAGCCTGAGGGCTGCTCTGATATAAGCTATCTGAAACAGTTCTGAGGGGCTACTACTGCAGCCAGGGATCATCAGGACACCCCAGTTATGCTACTGTTCTCCTGATCAATCTCTTTATACCAACAGCTGAGGGATGGGAGGTGAGGCATAGGAATCATAATGGCAGCTGTATGGCATCCAGAAAGCCTCTTATGGAGGCTTGGTCCTTCGATGACCAGCTAAGCTTGGATTTAAGTGCCTAACTTTAAGCACTCATGTTTAAAATTTTTGGCCTAAATTAATTTACAAGACAAAAAGGTTGTGTGTTTGTGTAAAGGCAAAAGATCAGAATACGGTCCTTAAAGATTTTAAGCTGCTGCTCTGAAACATGCCTTGCAGTCCCAAGTTACTCACCTTTCGTGGGTCGTCACCCAGTGATCGCAAGTAGTATTTCTCATCCTTAACACAAACACAAAAGAGAATGATCATTAGCACGCAAGAACAAAGAATTAGAACATACAGAGCTTTGACCACCTCATTAGTTTAATGAAGAGCCTCATTAAAATTTGGTACAACTAAATCCCATTTACAAATTCAGCTATTCTGCTATCCTGCCCTTTCTTCTATTGCTCCCTGCTGGCTACCTGAAGAAATGGAAGAAAGTGAAAATATGCTAATTAAATGAAACAGGCAAATTCAAGGGGGCAGGGAAAGATCTAAGGGTATAAAACACATGTTGCTCCATATGGCGACTTAGATCACAAATTGTCAGCCACTTCAACAGTGCTTTGAGTCTATCCAGTAATAGAGCATATGTAGAAATTAAACCCTTCAGAACACTGACACAGGAAATCACAACAATGTATTTCAGAACATACTGCATGTTACAAATAAATGATGGAAGGAATATTTGAAAAATCATTTGGAGCAGCCTAGCTCCTACTCCTATGTAAACATTGTATAACTAGATTTATTTGGGGGAGGGTGAATTCCTATTAACACACAAACCATTCAATATTTTTGGACATAGTTATTTTAAGATATCTACTAATTAATTACTTAATGAGTATGTTGTAACATTTCTGTATTTTATATTTGTACCTCTGATAGTTGCTATAGCTTAACTAAACACTTGCGTATTTACTTCTTTTAAAATATCTAACATATATAGTTGCTATTTTAAACATAATACGTTTTCTTAGTCCCTTATCTTGAACGCTTTACTCATATAAAGTAGTCCTTGGCCACACAAGCAAGCCCACTGTAGTCAGTTATACAGTATACATGAGGAATGATTAACTCTTGAGCTCCAATCCAGCAAAGCATGCTTAACTTTAAGGTTAAGTGCTATGCTAAAAAATAATAATTTTTTTTAACCGAATCTCAATTAATAACTAATGAAAGAAGATGTGACACTTTAAGGGAATTACCTCAGATATAAAGTACTCGTTATGTTTGACTTCAGCTGCTCTCCGTACAAACACATCAAAGGGCAATGTTCTGAAATATAAATATAAAAATTCATAATGCTAATCAGTGTAACAATGAATTATTTAACTACTGGACACACAATACTTAGTACCAGATCAAATTCATGTCTCTGGCCAGACAGACGATTTAATTTGTTTTAAAAAATCATCATATAGACTAGCAATTGTTTGCAACAGGATGTCAAATAACTGCCAAGATAAAAATCATATTTAAAAATCTTTCATTATTATCCAGATTGTTCCTACACTAGATCCAAATATTTTTGGCTGTAAGTCAGCTTGTAAAAAGATAATTATTTGGGATCAGATTTTCAAGAGTGCTCACTATCCAAAAATTTTATGCTCAAACTCTTGTGCTCAGTGGGAGCAGCTGGGTGCCAAGTTCTTTTGAAAATATGGCATCTAATTTAGATGCCTAAACTAAGCTCTATTGCAAATATGATCCCAGTTATAGGTGATGAGCATTTCTGAAAATCTGGGTCATAGTTTGTGCTGACTTTTTTGAATAAATGGGTCTGTGTTTTATATATGCTGCCTCAGGTGAAACCTATGTTTACAATAGTCCCAACCTTCCTGTATTTTAAATCAATTCTCCTAAAGTTGCTTCTTTCAATGATTCTACAGGAAAAAGAACTTTAGCTTTTCAGCTGGGAGGACAGCTTCAAGTTAGTTCCTATTAAAAAGAAATCACTGGGGCCCAAATCCTCAAAGGTATTGAAGAGCCTAACTTCCACTGAAATAATGGGAGTTAGGTGGCTAAGTACCTTTGAAGGTCTGGGCCTACCTTCCAAGCCCAGACCTACTGAAGTCAATGGGAGCAGAATCAAGCCCTAGATGACTGTCAGTTTCACACAGTGAGGAAGTCCTCCTAAAATGTCAATTCTTTAACAACTTTAGCAGATACTGCAATAAATAATACTTTCTACAGATACATATTTAGTAAGTTTGCTCCTGGTACAGAGTCAATACAAGCATAAAACAGTTAAGATCTCTTAGATCTAGTCTTCAATAGACCTTTGCCTGAACAGATATTGTAGCATTTGGCCCTGCTTGATACTGGAACAAAACAATTGCATGTAGTACTGTGACGGGTTCGGTCACAGACACCCCCCTTGGGACTGTCACCGGATGTGCTGAAATTACTTCTAAGCCCATTTTCCCTGCCAGCTTGGGACTCCAGAACCCTGCCTTGTTGAGCCAGACATGCTAGTCTGCTGCAACACAGACCCAGGTCTGGTCCACGCCCACAAAGCTGAAGACTTTAACCAAAAACAGCTCAGCAGGTTACTTCTCCAGCACCCAGACACCCAGTTCCCAATAGGATCCAAACCCCAAATAAATCCGTTTTACTCTGTATAAAGCTTATACAGGGTAAACTCATAAATTGTCCACCCTCTATAACACCAATAGAGAGATATGCACAGCTGTTTGCTCCCCCAGGTATTAATCACTTACTCGGGGTTCATTAATAAACAAAAGTGATTTTATTAATTATAAAAAGTAGGATTTAAGAGGTTTCAAGTAATAACAGACAGAACAAAGTAAGTCACCAAGCAAAATAAAGCAAAAACATACAAGTCTAAGCCTAATACATTAAGAAACTGATTATAGGTAATATCTCATCCTCAGAGATGTTCCAATAAGTTTCTTTCACGGACTAGATGCCTTCCTAGTCTGGGCCCAATCCTTTCCCCTGGTACAGTCCTTGTTAGTTCCAGCAGACATCTCAGGTGATAAGCAGGGGCTCTCTCATGACTGGCAGCCCCTTTTGTCCTACTCCACCCCCCTTTTATAGCTTTGGCACAAGGCAGGAATCTTGTGTCTCTCTAGGTCCCCACCCCTCCTTCTAAATGGAAAAGTACCAGATTTAAGATGGATTTCATTATCAGGTGACATGGTCACATGTCACTGTAAGACCCCTAGTCTCCATTCCCCCGGGGGTGGCCCACATATACACAGGAAGGCTTTCAAGTAACCAAGGCCATTTACAACTGATTGTTTCTGGAGCATCCTTAATGGCTCCACTTAATATGTTTACATCAGTGATACAAGTTTATATCTTATTCTCCTAACTCCAGATATAGAAATAATACATGCAAACATATAGGATGAACACACTTAATAGATTACAAGCTTTCTAATGACACCATACCTGGGATATTTAGCATAAAGCATATTCCAGTTATGTCATATTCATTACCATATTTCCATAAAGCCTATGGAGTGCAACGTCACAAGTACCAAATGGATTATTTTATGGTGGTTACTAATGTTTATAGCATCTATCAGCACCAGCTCATTTGATTTCCACCCCACTACAATTTAAATTTTGATTTTTTTAAACAGCAAGAGGGTAGGGGTAAAAAAATAACAAAAACATATATATAAAAAAAATTAACTAGAACCTAATACAAACAGATTATTTACCATAAGATTCAAAGTAGATGATGAAAAATATGATGCACACTTCTCAGGAGTCAGTCTAACTATTGTTAAATATCCTGAATTTCTCATTCATCAGGAAAGATTTTTTCCCCCAAGCTGTAAAGATCACTCAAATCACCTAGCTGGTACTGGCTAATATCCATGCTGTATATAGCAATTTATTTCAAGCTTCACAGAACACAAGAACAATTAAATGCCCAGTGTTAGGAAGAAAGTTTCCCCATAGGCAAAGTTATCCATTACAGAGGGTTTACATCTCATCTGAAATATCTGGTAGTAGCCATTGTCAAATATAGGACTAGATGGACCATTTCCCTGACAATATACAATTTCTATGTTCATGTTCATGAAAAGCTTGATCCAGCAGCTTCTGGAGTCAATGGAGAGAATCCCACCAACACTAATGGAAGTGGATCAGACCCCCAGAGCCTGAACAACTACACCTCCCACTGAAAGCAATATGAGTTGCTTGTGCTCAGCATATGTCAGGATCAGGTCCTTAGCTGGCCATAATGATGTCTTTGTACTAGAGCGTTTTTATTCTTGCAGTAATTGTATTTATTTTCTCCACAGATATGAATACATAGCCTGATTCATAGAGGTTCTGAGTTTCCCAAGTCCTCTAGAAGTGGTGAAAGTCACAAATACTTAGTAACTCTAAAGATCAGATATTTAGAGAGCATCTCCATAATGCCATATACAAAAATGCAAATTTAGCCCCTAATCTGCAAACCCTAACACATCTGAGCAAATTTATGCATGTGAAATATCGCCACTGAATTAAATAGATCTACTTATACGTATAATATTACGAAAGTGCATTAGGGCCTGCAGTATCAGACCCTTAGAAGGAAAATGCAAGGATACTAAATTGCACCTCCCTTTTATATGCCTATTTGTATTTCATTTTTTCCCCAGACAATGAGATAAACACTAAACAGTATATATGAGGCAAAGATGTATGACAATTTTATTTGCAGTTCAAAAAATAGTTGAAAAAGGTTCAACGGTTCAACCGGCTGTGAATAAAGAGTGTACTGAATGTGACACCAGGGTTCACTCATTACAGACTGTCGAACTTTTGATTCCATCACATATGTCTGCTTTCTTAAACTTTATGAAAATAATAAATGATTGAACACATCTTGTTCACACTTGGGAAAAGCAAATGACAATTGAAATGAAGACTTTACAATTGTAGAACAACAACAAAATGGCTGAGATGCATTAGACTCTGAAGAATGTTTAAGCAAACTACATGACATGGACAAATCTAATGAGGAGCTTCTCAGGACATTAGACATTCTGTGACCTGTCTCCAGACTAAAGGGCTAGTGAAATGTGTGATATTCCGTAGTTTGAGGACACTGAAAACTGCACATGCCCTAAACTTTGAAGTTGTTTGTTTTTTAATTGCTGACATCCTTCCAGCCTAAGTCTGTTGAACTAACATATCTGTAACATAACAGGTTTCAGAGTAGCAGCCGTGTTAGTCTGTATCCGCAAAAAGAAGAACAGGAGTGCTTGTGGCACCTTAGAGACTAACAAATTTATTAGAGCATAAGCTTTCGTGGACTACAGCCCATTTCTTCGGAT